TGGCAACGATGCAGAGCTCTCCAGCAGAGATGGCCGTGCAATCTAATAGAAAGAGGGCCCCAGCATGGACTGATCGGGAAGTCTTGGATCTCATCGCTGTGTGGGGCGATGAGTCCGTGCTTTCAGAGCTGCGCTCCAAAAGAAGGAATGCTAAGATCTACGAGAAGATCTCCAAAGCCATGGCAGAGAGAGGCTACAGCCGGGATGCAACGCAGTGCCGCGTGAAAATCAAGGAGCTGAGACAAGGCTACCAGAAGACCAAAGAGGCAAACGGACGCTCCGGATCCCAGCCCCACAGATCCCGTTTCTACGAGGCACTGCATTCCATCCTTGCTGCGGCCGCCACCACTACCCCACCACTGACCGTGGACTCTGAGGATGGGATATTGTCCACGGCCGGTTCCTCAGCGGACGGGGAAGAGGAGGAAGGAGATGAGGAGGACGAGGCAGTCGACAGCGCTTACCAAGCTGATTTCCCCGACAGCCAGGAGCTCTTCATCACCGTTACAGAGATCCCCTACCAACCCTCCCCAGCATGTAACCTGGACACAGATTCAGGCGAAGGATCAAGCGGTAAGTGCTTTAAACATATTAACCTTTATTTTTTACAAAACTTGAATATTAATACTAAGAACAATCTGTGAATCATGATTTCTTCCCCCTGGGCGCTTAAGTAATCAGTAACAACTATTTAAAAAAAAATCAAACAGTGTCCGGTTCTGCATGATTGTGCTGCCCAAGCTGCTCCACTCTTTAGTGCCTGCTACTGCAGCTATATTAGAATCCTGTCTATATGTCCGGGGATAGAGCAGTAGTCCTCCACGGACATCTCCACAAAGCTCTGCTGCAGGTAATGGGATAGCCTGTTCATCAGGTTCCTGGGGAGAGCGGCTTTACTTGGTCCTCCGAAGTAGGAGACGTTCCCGCGCCAGGAGACAAGCAGGTACTCCGGTATCATTGCCTTGCATAGCATGGCGGCATAGGGCCCCGGTCTCTGCAGGCTTTCTCGAAGCATCCGTTGGATCTCGGTGTCCGGGATGTTCATGAGAGTTATGTCGCTCATGATGACCTGCTTTGAATTAGGTAGGGGACTGTTAGTATTGGGACTGCTTGCAACAAGTTCCTTTACAGAACTGTGACCGCTGGTTTACAGCCACGCGGTGGGGGCGGGAGAGGGGCAGCATACAGGGATCTTTCCCTGGCTCATCCGCGAGGGGGTGGGACAGGGCCAGAGTTCCTGCTTGGCCGATTGCTGGCAGCACAGACTGGCAGTGCTTTCAATGTGAAAGGAGGCCAGTGGTACTCCTACAGTTTTAAGCAGCCACAAGTCTACGGCTTACCATGTTTGCCTGCTACAGAGAGTACCGTGTCCTGCCCCGCTTCCCAGATCGGCAGTGCAAAAGCCCAGGCACTGAAGGCGAGGTTCGAAAATTCGACCTTGTCCGGAGTGCGCATGTGATAGGTGTGGTTCATGGTCTTGTTCACAGAGAAAAACTATGTTCTTGATTCACAACCACATTTATCTTTCGGAGGAATTCACTGCCTTTTCCTCATTCCCACAGCCACATCTGCAACTGTCTCCTAACCCAGCTTGGCATCACACTCCCAGAGGCTAGCGCACATTAGGCGGAGAAAGAAGAAGACGCGAGAGGACATGTTCTCAGAACTAATGGGCTGCTCCTGAGCCCAGGCAGCACAGCAGAACCAGTGGAGGGAGAATTTGTCACAAATGCACCGGACACACATGGAACGTGAGGAGAGGTGGCGGGCAGGAAGACCAGCAGGCGACTCAAACGCTGCTTGGACTTCTGAGGGAGCAAACGGACACGCTCCGGCGCCTTGTTGATGTTCTGCAGGAACGGAGGCAGGAGGACAGAGCCCCGCTGCAGTCTATCAGGAACCGCAGTCCCCCGCCACCAAGTCCCATACCCCCCTCGCCCAAAGTCCAAAGAAGGAGGGGTGGCAGAGTCCGTGAAAACTCTCACTCCACCCCTGCAGACTGCTCAAGCACCAGAAGGCTGTCATTCCCCAAAATTTGAAAAGTCCTTTCCTGCCCGCCTCACCCAAGCCCCCGTCCGACTTTCACCCCCCAGTTTCCTGTCTGGTTGTTCATAAAAAATATGTTTCTGTTCATTACTGTTTCAGTCAGGTTCTTTTGAGGGAGAGTCTGTCTGGAGGGGGGGAAGGGGATTGGTAATTGGACAGGACAGTCACCTTTAGCAGGGTACAGAGGCGGGGGCAGGTCCAGCATCAGGACACATACACAGTGCAGTCACTAGTGACCCAGGTCAGTCTGGGAGGTGGTTTTCATCTCCTGGGGGGGGGGTTGCTCTGTGACTTTGTGGCGGGGGAGGGCAGTTACAGATCTTATGCTGCAGTCTTTATCCTGGATCACAGAGCCACGCAGCAGGGGATCTGTAACCCTCCTCCCCCAGGCAGAAACTCACATAGCTGACACATACACGCAGTTCTGCCCAGGAGTGATGGCAGGCTCCGTTGAAACAACCAGTGCACCACTGCGGAGCCTGTCATTCCTGGAGTTTAGAAGCATCATTTGCATCAGAACACTAAACCCGCCCCCCGCCACTGTCTGCGTCCCCGGTTTAAAACATTCCCGCGAAAACAGTAATAAAGACAACGGTGTTCATTGACAAAATAGAACTGATTTTATTTTTTGGGAAGGGGGTGAAGGGGGTATGTAACTGGAGGTTCAGCTTCTGTGTCCACAAACTTAACAGTCACTGGTTACCCTGCTCAGTCTGGAACCTTGCTTTCAAAGCCTCCCGGATGCACTCCACCACCATTCTGCACTTGCTCAGACGGTAGTTGAACAGTTCTTTTTCTGTGTCCAGGGCGCCAGTATAGGGCTTCATGAGCCAGGGCATTAGCGGGTAGGCTGGGTCCCCGAGGATCACTGTAGGCATCTGCACATCCCCAAGAGTTGTTTTGGGGTCCGGGAAGTAAATACCTTCCTGCAGCCGTGTAAACAGACCAGAGTTCCTGAACACGCGAGCGTCATGAACCTTGCCCGGCCATCCGACGTTGATGTTGGTAAAACGTCCCCTATGGTCCACCAGTGCTTGCAGCACCATTGAAAAGTAGCCCTTTCTGTTAATGTACTGGCTGGCCTGGTGGTCCGGTCCCAGGATAGGGATGTGAGTCCCATCTATAGCCCCACCGCATTTTGGGAATCACATCGCGGCGAAACCATCTATGATGACCTGGCCGTTTCCCAGGGTCACTACCTTTGAGAGCAGTACCTTAACGATTGCGTTGGCTACTTGCATGACAACAACCCCCACAGTAGATTTGCCTACACCAAAGTGGTTCGCGACTGACCGGTAGCTGTCCGGCGTTGCAAGCTTCCAGAGGGCTATGGCCACTCGCTTCTGGACAGTCAGGGCTGCTCGCATCCGGGTGTCCTTGCGCTTCAGGGCAGGGGACAGCAACTCACAAAGTTCGAGGAAAGTCCCCTTTCGCATGCGAAAGTTTCGCAGCCACTGGGATTCGTCCCAGACCTGCAGCACTATGAGGTCCCACCAGTCCGTGCTTGTTTCCCGGGCCCAGAATCGCCATTCCACGATATCCACATGACCCATTGCCACCGTGATGTCCTGAGCGCTGGGTCTCGTGGTTTCTGACAGCTCTGTGCTACTCTCCGACTTCAGGCTCTCACGGCGGTGCCGTAGCCTCCTCGCCCGATTTCGCTGCATCTGCCTCAGGGAAAGGTGTATGATAAGCTGCGAGGTGTTGAGAACGGCCACAACTGCAGCGATGGTTGCAGTGGGATCCATGCTCGCAGTGCTGTGGCGTCCGCGCTGTCACTGATCAGAAAAGTGCGCGAACTGATTTCCCGCCGGCGCTTTCAGGGAGGGAGGGAGGTCGGTAGTGACGGACGGATGACGACAGTTACCCAAAAGCACCCTCTACACATTTTTTTACCCAGAAGGCATTGGCGGCTCGACCCAGAATTCCAATGGGCAGCAGGGACTGCGGGAACTGTGGGATAGCTGCCCACAGTGCACCGCTTCCAATGTCGACGCTTGCCCCGTTAGTGTGGACTCACAAAGTCGAATTACTGTCCTTAGTGTGGACACACACGTTCGACTTTGCAATATCGATTCCACATATTCGATTTAAGTAAAATCGAACTACTCTCGTAGTGTAGACATACCCTAAGAGAACTGAGCATCTTGCGAGGATGGGGGTGTGAGCCAGGCATTCATCTGAAGGTAAACTGAAGAAGTGGGTTGTAGCCCACGAAAGCTTATGCTCTAATAAATTTGTTAGTCTCTAAGGGTCCACAAGTACTCCTGTTCTTCTTGCGGATACAGACTAACACGGCTGCTACTCTGAAACCTGTACCCATTTTGGGATTCTGACAGCATCATAAACGTGCACACTGCACTTGTATACGCCTTATTTATAAACTTATACAAAGGCGAGGGTTCCAAAAGTGGACCAGTTAGGAGGAAAGGAGGTTACTGGATAACAAAAGGACTTCCCTTAATAAACAAGTACAAATGACGAATGTCCTAGTGGGGGATACAAGCTGCACTTCTGCTGTTCACTTTCGGTCCCTCCTGTAAATATTCCAACGCAGCCATGTGCATCCTCGGCCAGCCCTGGCCCCTTCTGTCGCTGCTCTGGCATCATGCTCCGTGAGGGGCGATTTGGCTAGGCTGCTGCGGTTTCTCCTGCTGCTGGAGCTGCAGAGGGAGGAAGGAAACCCAAGGGCAGAGAGCAGCCGGCAAGGGGCATGGAAGAAGTGAAACGGAGTGAGTGAGCCAAGCGCTAGCGAGCGGAGAGAGGGGGCCAGGCGGGCCAGGGAACGGGTTTGACGGCCTCCTCCCCCGCAGGGCGGTGAGGGCAGGCGGAGGGCAGGGCAGCCGGGCGGAGGCAGGGCTGAGATGAGGGGCTGGCAGGGCTGAGCGGGAGGCGGCGGCCGAGCCGTGCGTGTGGCCGAGCCCGCCGGTCCCGTCCCTGTGGCTGCTGCGGGCTGGCTGCCCCCTTGCGCCCCTCCGAGGCCCGGGGGGAGGAGGAAGGAGGAGGCGGAGGAAGCGGCGGCACCAGGAGCAGGGAGGCGGCGGCGAGGGAGCCTGGTGGAGTCGGAGCCGGGCCCGCAGCGACGGCGGCTCCTTCTCGGTGAGTCCCGCTGCGCGGCCCGGCCCGGCCGGGGAGCAGCCGCGGTGGTGGTGGGGGGTCGGCCCGGCCCCGGTGCCGCCCGCGAACCTGGGCCGTGGTGCCGGCAGCGGCCTGGAGCAACGGGACACGGCGGCCTTGGCCGGGTGAGCTCCCCTGGCAGCAGGCACCTCCGCCCCGGCCACTGCGGGCTGCGGCCCGGGCCCCGCTCTGCCTTTGTTCGCTCCGCTGCCCGCACCAGCGGCGGCGCCAGGCCTCGCGGAGAGACCGGGGCCGCGGCGCGGCCTGCAGGGGAGCGAGCAGCGCCCGGGACAGGGCCGCAGAGATACCCCCGCCCCCAAATCCCAAAGCAGGAAGGGGGCTGGGTCTGTCCGTGACCCCCCAAAATCTCGGGCCACGAGGGGGGCTGGATCTGAGTTTGACCAAAAACAACAACAACAACTCCTCAACCCCACAAAGGCCGGGGCAGGAAGGGGTCTCCCTCTGCCCACCTCCCTCTCCAAATCCCAGTGCTGAGGGCAGCAGGCAGCTGGATTTTCCCCATGTGTAGCCCCCCTTCCCGCTCTCAGAAATAAGAGGGACCTGGTAGAGTCGCTGTCCGACCAAGTTCCCTGCAGGCCAGGTGCCCAGTGCTAGTGCTGTGGTCACCCCCTTTGGCCTCTGCCTCAGAGGCTCAGGAGAAGGTTAAAATCTAAATGTCACACTGTTATTACTGCATTATATAAATCTGATAAATCTTCTCTCACCCAGGAGTAATTAGAGGGCAGAAATAATATGCTGCTGTGTGAGAGAGGGAGAGGAGAGATTTTGAAACAACTCGACCCACCTATGCACCCCAGCCTTCTCACCCCAAACAGTTTCCTCCTCCACCAGAAACAAACTACAGCCTAGTCTTTGCCTATGGTTAGTCAATTACTTAAATACAAAACAAAACACCAAAGTTGCCAAAAATCATCAAAGCTGCCAAAGTTGTTGGAGCTTTAATCTGGGAAGCTCCTAGTTGAGCTCCTGTGATTCCATTATTTTTGGTTTTAAAATTAAATTGGGCTTCCATGATTCTGGGACGCAAACACTGGTGCAGAGCAGATCAAACTCTGTCTGGGTGAGGGGGATGGCAGCTGTAAACACTTCACTTCCATCTGGCAACGTGTCACCACCAGACTTGCAGTTACCACTCTGCATCTTTTCCACTAACCTGCTTCAATACCTCTTTTCTAGCTGTCAAATATGTTTCTACCAGTGTTGCCCCAAATCACGTACATATTCCCGCAGTAAAAATATGCCCCCTACCATGCCTCTCTGCTTCTTAGGGAGTTATAGCCCAGAAGTAGTTGTACAGCACTATGTGTACAACTCTTCTGGAGAGTTGAAGAGTGGTATTACTGTTGGTTTATATTTATAAACATGTCCTTAGATTGTATAGATCATGTGGAAGCTTCATAGTAGTCATGAAATAATGTATTTTGCTTGGCTAGTAGTCTTAAATTTTTCTGGAAGATTGTTGGAGAATAAGTACAAGTAGTCATTAATTTTTTAATAGATCTTTTTTAGTAAAGCAATTACACAAGAAAATATGCATTTATATTTGATAAACTGAAAGCAAATTATGAGTTAAAGCAAAAGATATCTGCTTTAGCTTTCATAATGCTTTTATAAAATGTTTAGTTTCTCTTAAGCAATTCACTAATGAGGTTCCTTGTTTCCTATTACATATTTCATAATAAAATTGTGGAAGTGTGGTTACAGCTCTGTAGTCAAAATTGAGTTGTTTTCCCTTAAAGCATGTATTCCGCCTCTTTAAGAAATGCAGATAAACCCTCCCTATACAATGATTTCTGCGAATTAAACTAAGATTTATTTTAGAGTTCAAATTAAGTGAGCCCTTGAAGAAGTTTAGCACTTAAGGTATGTTTACACTTAAAATGCTACAGTGACACTGCTGTAGTGCTTCAGTGTAGATCAGTGATCCTCAACCTGTGGCCCATAGGCTGCTTGCGGCCCAATCAGCACATATCTGCAGCCCATGCGACATCCTCAGGGCCATACAGGTAGTATTGGATGTGGCCCACATAACACATTGTAGGCTGCATATGCAGCCCACAATGGTAAATAGGTTGAGAACCACTGGTGTAGATACTCACTACAGTATAGTGATGGGAGGGGTTTTCCTTTAATTGTAGTTAATCCACTTCCCCGAAAGGCAGTAGCTAGGTCAATGGAAGAATTCTTCCGTCGACCTAGCTCTGTCTACACTGGGAGTTAGGACAGCATAGCTACGTTCCTCAGGGGATGTAGATTTTTCACACCCTTGAGAGTCATAGCTATGCTGTTGTAAGTTACAAGTGTAGATCAACCCTTAGCAGAATATGCACTCTTCAAATTTTCCATATAGTTAACTAAATTAAATTTTGTGTAAAGGCTACATTTAAAGAAATTAACTTAGTATACTAAACTATTATTTCTAATTCTTATGATTATAGACAATGCCAGACCGACAGCTGAGGTCACTCAACCAATCATCCTTCCTCTATAACTAATTTGCATGCTACAGTTGTGCTTGTGCAATGAGACAGTGGCATAAAAGAGATTGAACTCATGCTAAGAATTATCATAGATTACTTGGTCCCAGCTGTCACTGCTCCTTTACATTTGAAAGGCTCCTCATGGCACTGTTGTGTTGATTCCACTGGGGGCAGCACTGCTGGGGAAACTGAGATAGAAGTGCAGAGACATTCCTGTTTATAGCCACTGCCATTTTCCTTCTCTCCTTCTCTCCCCACAGTGCTGCTTCTTGGTGTCTGGGTGGAAGGGGAGGTGTGCAGAGGAGGAGAGAGGTGGGAGGGAAGTGAAGGGTGGAGACTCACCCAGTCTGTGTGTGCGGATGTCTATGTGTACCGATGTCTTTTTCAGCTCCTCTGGTGGTGCTGCCTTGCTGCATGATGGTTCTGAGGCAGCAGTGCCAGAGGGAGCAGTTCAAGCACACCTCAAACCACATGGTGGGGGAGGGAATCTACAAATCAGTTTAATATAGTCCAGGGCCACAAACACTAAATTGCATTGATCATCATTGTATGGTTGTGGCATGATGACTACAGGGCAGAGTTGAGTTTATTTTGTGGGTCTTAACTGTACATTTCCATACAACAACATGTTTGGGTTTTTTTTAAGTTTAACCTGAACTTTGAATTTCCTGGGTTTGTATTGTTTGTTTGAAATAATTGCAATATTCCTGTAATATTTCTTACCCTTAAATTACTGATACGTAAATTCAACTGATTTCCATTTTAATGTAGGGTTTGGTAGGTTGTTGGTTTTGTTTGTGTGTGTGAGAGAGATTATATAGCAAACACCAGAAGACATTTGAGTTGTTACTCACCAAGGGCTGCAGTTTCAGTAACAAAGCTCAACAAATTTATAGTAGTATCAGGCAAGAAAGATCCCTAAAAGGAAACTTGTGTTTATATTGGAATATTCATTAACCATGTTTAAATAAGGTAGCTTTATGCCATTCAAAAACATATACATCCAATTTAACTGCAGGTAGAGACTAGGGTATTGGGGCCATTCTGCTTATCACTGGTTTCATATTCTCTCTCATAGTAATTGAAATGTTTGAATTGAAACTCTTAACTAAGTAAATTGGACAAGTGATGGGATTTTTTTTAAAGTACTTTAGAATTTTTAACAGTTTAATTTTGATAAAAACGTCCAAAATTAGTATGATTTCATTTTCCCCTTAGTTTTGGATTTCTTAAGGGAAGCTTAAAATGTCACGGACAACCTAATTTATTCAGTTAACAAAATAAAGTTATCTCACCTACTTCGTTTCCCTGGCATTTTGGTGTTTTTACAGTCACACTTTTAAAAAGTCTTTCTTCCCTGTTGCTGTGTGTGAAAGACCCACAAAGAGTGAAAACTGCCTATACACAAAGTTGTCAAATATAGAAAGTAAAGAAAGGGGGGAAAATAGCAAAATATTTCTCTAATACCATGTCTTAACTTTTAAGAATGGTAGACAAAATTTGCAGACTTAAGTGTTTTTGATGCTATCTCTGTATGCCTCTGTATCTTACACCCTGATCCTGCTATTGGATCCCCTCAGTCAAACCCTTATAATTCAGAGTGTGATTGAAATCAGTGGTGTCTCCCTGTGAATATAGGGATCCACCTGTGCATATCCAAGCATGAGATTAGGGCCATAAGTTTGAAAATGCATAGAACACATACTAAGTGCAGTGTATTTTTAAGATTTCACATTTTGTGAAATTGGTGGATGTCAGATTCCATCTTTAAATTCTATTAGATCAGCTTGCTAATACCCTGGAAGTATAGGATTGTATTTTACTAGATAGTCTCTAGTGGTTTGTCCAGTTGTAAGTGACTAGATTAATTCCACTATTTTATTTGAGTGATTATTTCACAGTTTAATAGAGCTTACTGCTAGAACCATCTTCCTAATATTTAAACTATGTATTCCTGGGTTTAATTTTATCCCAGTACTCTTAGTTATCTTTTTGCTTGCTTTTTCAGGTATCTGCTAAAATTTCATTCCTACCAACTTGTTTTCTGCTCCTGTTCTTGTAATCTTTACTTTATTCATAAATCAGTCCTGTCAGTCTTTTTCTTCCCCCTTTTAGTTGCTTGCCTTGCTATACCCTCCAGTCTGTCAATATTTTTCTGGTTTGGAGGTGCATAGATACACTCTACCTTAGGTGTGGATTCACCAATGCTGCAAAAAGAGGATAATCTGTGTAATAATACTTAAGTATTAATAATAGTAAAGATGTATCATGAGACAGCACATTATGCACAGTCTGGTCTAGTAATCTAATTCTGAGAACTAGACTTAAATTCTGGAAAATAAAAAAGGGACAGATTATGCCTCTTGATCAGGTGCCTATTTGTCACTGTAGTGATACAGAGGACAGAACTGTGCTGCAAGGGACCCCGGGGAGAATTACTTCTGTGCAGACACAACCTATGCTGGCATTCTTGCAAGCCCT